CTATATCTCTTTATTTAAGATTAGTTAGTTTAATTCTTAGTCTCTTAAGTTCAAGCCTAAGTTCTCTTAAGTGTCGGCTTTACTGTACAACTCCAAGACAGAGTTCTGTTAGCTTTAGTTGGCATAATTAAGGGTTATTTCACTCTTCTTACTTGTTGTTTTCTACCTCTCGAACTCAAGAGATTATTCGCTTACTAGTTCTTAAGATTCTTCACATTCAACTGTAACTTAGAATTGCACAGTGGGGAATCCTACAACTTTTTTATTTGATATAATTCATTTGTTTTCAATCATAGATAACCAACAATTATATGATCGCTAATAAAGATTTTAATACCGCTGAGAAAGATTCAAGTAAGGGACAAAATGAACAGCTTATATTTGCTTAGATTTTTATATGAATTTAGTATGGATTTTAAGAGCGGCTGTCATAGGGGGCACTGTCCTGTAGGAGAATAAAAATGATATCGATTATGAAACTAAAATACCTTACAAATTCGTTATTGTTTTCAGTTAACTGTAAAATCTTGTCAACCAGTAATAAAGATTAGAAACACGAGGGAATTATATTGCTGATGATGCCCGATGCATGAGATTATTTATTTATACTTTTACTATCATATATAATACATCGAAATGCGAAACTTTAAACCTAATTATTTTTTTACACCATAGCCTGGCTTCAAAATAAAATATAACGTTAATATTAGTTTAAATTCTCCTCTCAATTAGAATTCGCTTGATTCGACTTATTGGTATTTACTGATGATCCTGTGAAGTCTCCAGAGCACTGAAATGAAACCCTCGATCACTATGTGAGATCATATTCTGCTGCTAATAATCGTTTCATATCTTTAATGGTTAATAATGCTTGCCTTTGTAAAGCATTTCCAGTTGATCAATATATTGTGGATCCAAGTTTACTATGAAATCGATTTGCCATTTTATCAGGTACTTGAGGGAACACCGAGGGTGCATATAATTGATTGTACCCCTTATTAAATAAACTAGAAAAAGGGGAAGATGTACATCACATGTGTTTCTATCTGAAACAGGACTGTTCCTAGGCCATTGGTTGCCCGCATACTTTCTAAAGATTGCTACCCCAAAATTAAAAAAATAATAATACAAAGAGTTATTTCATACTCAACGAAGTACTTGCATATAACAAATTGTATAAAAAGTACTTACATATGACAAGTGCTTGCAATGAATTTAAAATATTTAGGTTTAGAGACGTTAGGTATTTTTTGGAGGCAGAAGGGATGAAAAATTAATAAGGCCTTCGCCGAGAATCGAACCATGGACCTCTGGAACACCGGCCCAGCGTAAGAACCACTACACCACGAAGGCGGGAGGAATACCTTATATAGGCATGGTCCCCCCCGGGAGTCGACGTAGAGAATTCTGCGAAGCTACTGGCTAGGATCTGTACCTAGGCAGTCTCGGCCACGGAGGTATAAAATTTATGAACTTGGTGGTTCTGAAGGCTCTGGGAAAGGTCACTCATTGGCCGGCCTCGGAGTCTGGCATGTCCTAGCGCGGCGTGGTGCTAGTAGCCCGGGGGTTTTTCCCCGGGGTCGCTGGGTAATGTCCCGCTGCGACGGGCTCGCCCGAGCGACTATTGGCAGGAGCTACTGGTAGGTGCTACTGGTAGATAGCAAATAACGACCGGTGCTGTCCTGGGAAACTTATCCTGGTGGTGTGCGGCCTCCCTACTGTGAGGGGCCATAGTGGAGGTTGAACCTCCACGACGTGCCCAAAGGTAGAGTCGACCTGTAGGGAGATTAAGTTACTCGGAGCAGGGCAGCCGAAAAGCTATATAGGCATGGTATCGCCCGAGAGTCCGGCCGCCCCTGATTTTGCCCCGCGTACTTTTATGCGTTTCACCCCCGCTAGGAACGGCCCTGGTCTAAAATATGTGATATCTCGAGTAGCGGGTTAAGAACGAGAAGCCACTCATACACTTAAAATCCAGAGAGGAAAAGTAGCTCATATCAAAACTTATTTTCTTAGTTATTTTTGCAAAGTCTTAAATCATAAGGATTTTTGTATAACCTTAATAATTAAAAATTTTTAGTTCTTGATTCTCTTCTGAATAAGAATTTCAGTGGTTGGAGCTATTTTGACAGAATTTACTTTATTCTCAAATTAAAACGACTGCAATGAATTCTGCCATTAGAGAAAAGGCTACTTTAGTTTTAATTTCTTTATCAATGTATTAAATACCTTACTGTATAAAAAGAAGAAATGGATGTTTCATCCTTTTAATAATGTTGCTTACAGCGACTGAATTATGTTTATTTTTAAGTACAACTTTGATTGTATTCAAATTTATTCTGCATCGCATGAAAGGCGACCGTGTTACTTTTACTGATAAGAAACTTACAGTATTAATCATGTGCCATGAATCTCATTCTCTATGTATGCCATGAGAAAATTAGTTATATCTATTCACAGTCCTCATATCACAGTTTTAAATTACTGTTATTCTGTGCACAAAAGAATCCTGCTTTCCAAGTAGAGAACCAAAAGTCATGGATTCAAGAATACCGTCTTGAAAATGTGGGAAATAGATCCATTAATTAACTGCTATCTGAAAGGAGTATTATCTTGAATGCTTTCAAACTTCCATGTGAATGAAGAAATTGAATAAAAAAGAGCTTCTTAAGGCAATTTAACTTAATATTTATAGAAAGCTCTTTCAGAAATAAATTAATGGTCATTTTTTAAAATACAATTATAAGGTATTTCTCCCGTCTTTTTAGCATGCCTTCGTAGTGTAGTGTTTAGCACGCTCGGTGCGTATTCGAGAGACTCGTGGCCCCGGCGGTGGTTCGAGCCCCTGCGAAGGCTTGGCTCATTTTTCCATCTCCTCCTTCGAAATAACCTAATGTCTTAACGTAATGCGTAAAATTCATAAATGTTATAATGTATTTAAATATTATTCTCAAGTAATATTCTCTCGCACAATATATTATTCAGACTAAATTTCATATATAATTCCAGGTTATACTTCAGATAAATTTATATGCTTCGGGATGCCATGGTGATTCCACTTTCTAGAAATCTAGAAAATGCCCTTTAAGTCATAATGGGTTTATTTGAATGTTTGCTATCATATTTACTTTAAATGTTTCAAGTGTCTGAACACTAAGTTTCTTATTAAAAGAAATAAATATCTATATGCTTGAAAAGATAGTATTTACAAGAATGAAAGGATCTTCCAGATGGAAACTGTAATGTATTAATTTCAAAGACATTTCAAAAAATTAAAAATCGCATATAAAAGAGTTTCTTTTACCATGTATTTTATTCTTCCGAAACGGTTTGAATAAAAATCATCGATCGCATGATATTTATCTGAAAGCATGTAATAAATAACAACAGTAGTAAAATTTTACATGTGACAAAATTCGATGTACTCAAGTGATGAATTTTTATGAACTTTTAAACCAAGACGAGAATTTCTGATTTATCAGTTCCATTGTTTAACAAAAGCTGTCAACTAGCAATGACTTTTTTCCTATGAGTGTTATTTTGGAATTCCTACATAATACTTCCCTCTTTTTAATTCGGGACAAGAGTTCTGCATTCGTCCGTCAGTAGCCACGTGTTTTTTCAGTAGACATTATTTTAGTAGTACATTTTTCAGACTATTAAATGTTGTTCAATTGTATGTTTTATACAGCAGTTTTGATTATTAGAGCTGTAACATGCTTTGACGAACTTTTTCAACGACTACAGCATTTAGTTATTTAATTCTTAAATCCTGATCCGTTTAAAATCTAGGAGCTCATCAGACAAACAATAACACAATTATTTACTGATTATATTTTACTTACGAATGGAACATATGAATCTCTGAATCCCTGGAATACTTACATAAAAAATCATTAAATAGTTTCACTCAATTAGATAAGTTTTACTGATATCCAATAAAAAGGTTCATTAAAAGAATAATTTGACTGTTACAATTTCAGCGGAATCGGATGATTAACATTACCTTCTGTTGGCACTGAGTTCCACATTCTTATTTTTCATGAGACAATGTGGTAATCCGTGCTTAATGTTTATTTATTTTAGCTTTTAAAATAATCTTGTTCTTCTACACTTGCTTTGATATAAAGCAAATCTTTAAAGATGAAAAATGTTTAAAATGTTGATCATATTTCTTTCCTTTAATTTAATTGAGAAAATAAACTTGGAGAGTAAAGAGTGAATTTACGTATTTCCTTTTTTAGTTTCCCTTGTTTCTCCGTAATAAATGTAGATGTATTTTTAAAAACGTATACTCATAATTTCTATTTTATTAAATGCAGATTTGAAATTTTGCTTTAGTTAATAACTCTTAGCATCAAGTAAAAGTTTTTATTTTGTTGTTCTTCCTTTTATTCCTGTATGAAGGGTTCGAATTAATACAGAATATTTGATGATTCCGATTCGGATATGGATTCGAAAACGTTTTAGGATTCGAATTCTATAAATTTACTATTCACCTTCACTTCTATTATTCATTCAGAAAATGGATGTTTATAGAATTTTCTGATATAGGAATTAATTCTACTTTCAATGTTAATAATTTTCATATTTTCAGCAATCTGAAGTTCGATATTGGGTTCAACTATAGTCTTGATTTACCTACAGTGTTATTCTTCATAAAATCTCTTTCGTGTTTAAGACTCCGATATATCGACTCTAAAAATCGATAACAAATATACAAACTAAGGAGAATGCAACTTCCCACGTGACGAAAATAAAAAGTCCATGTGACTAACTTTTAACTAATATCTTGTGATTTTATTCAACATTTTTCCCATAAAAAAGAATTAAACAGTTTCGAATTGCATTCTATCTACTTGTGGGTCTTCTTTGACAGACGAAACTCTTTATTTGGCGCCAAATTGAGGCGATTTGGCAATCGGCTGCGACTGTTGAACACTCTAAACAACTCAACTTCGCACGCACCCAGTCCGGCTAGACGATCTGCGAGTCAGAAGCCGTCCTTCCGCATCAAACGAAGGGTGCGTTATTATTCATCTCCCGAAACATAGCGAGAGAGAATTTTTTTCCCCCCCAAGAACCTATGACTACTGCATTATGGATGATAACGCATCTGCTAGCATCGTAGATGATCTACCGGTGATGTCTGATTCTGATCCAGCCGCAACTCCTATTTATCCTTATCAATTTCCGTCGTCTACCCACGTGATTGTCGGAACGTATCTGGTGATTATTGGTAAGTTTGCATGCTGATTATTTTCCAATAATGCACCGTCTGCTTTTCGTATTTCACTTTTCAAAATGTTAATGTCACTCAAAATTCAATGTTTAAGATGTTTTTAAAATTGTTTTTCAAATTCAATATTTTTTTTATTATTTCAGTTTTTGATTTTTAAGTAAGATACATGTTGTTTAAAATCAGAATATCTAGAGATACCATTTAATACTGTATAGTATATATGTTTTAAATAGCATGCGTATGGAATAATTCATTATGATAATTCGCAAAAATCATGCAGTGTTTTCGCTCTAGACTTTAAACAAACGTAACTTCAACTACTATAAAATGTGAAATATCTAAAACTATTTTTTGCATAATTGGATTATTTACTAATGTACAAAATATTTTTAGTTAATATTTGAATATATAGAGCTAAAAGTTTTGACATAAGATTAAAATTTGGTGAATGATCCGAAACCGGTTATTTTAGCAAAAAAAGTAGTTCGAAAATGAATGTTAAAAGCATTTTGAGTGAAGAAAGATAATAAAATGCTCACGTTTCTATGAAATTCTTACGAGTGTTTGGTTTTAAGCCTAGACGCAAAAGTAAATGACATAATCAATACAAATCTGTAAGACTGGGAAACGTTATTATAGATTTAGCATTGATTTCTGTTATTGATTAGCTCATACGAAATATAAATGATCTAATTTGATGTACTAAATTGGCAGGTTTCGAGTAATTGCCGATAATGGAAAAATATTGAAAATGCAATAATATTTTTTTATAAACCTTTCATAAGAGAGTACATATAATATGATTTTTTATGATTATGTACTATATTTGAGTTAAGATTTTTTTGAATATATCAGAATTAAATAACATAATACAGGCTCTATAAATGTAATGGATCAAATTTTTGATGTACGCACAGAATAAATCTATTGATAATAATGTTTTCAGTGATAAAATTTGTTTTATAATATAATTGTAAATCATGACATGTATCTTTGTAAGGCTGATGGTGCACAGATTTAGTACATTTCATTATTCCTTGTAATTTGCAACAGCGAATTAAAGATGAAATGTGGTTCTCGAATAAAAAGGAATAACGAAGATACATACTTCAATAGTATTTTACGTATAATTATTCAAATTTAGAAAGAAATTTTTCAGGTTAGTATATAATGAACCCAAAAGATTGAATTAAAAAATTTACATGAGCCAGTGCCTACTTCGTGTATAAAATTAAATCAGGAAATGATTAGGTGTGTACAAAAAAAAAAAAAAAAAAAAAAAAAAAAAAAAAGCTAATATGAAAATCTGTAAAAACATGGAAAGAAATAAATGTTTTAAATAATTTCTGGAAGGAAATACTACGGATAAGAAGTATTTAAAAGAGAGAGTTTACAAGTAAAAAGTAAAACAGAGGTTTGCGTATTAAAATTTAAGAAGCTGACAGAAAAAGAAAACATTACCAAAAACCACCCAAATATTTTCCAATTAATTATTATTTAAAGAATAATGCAATTGAAATTTTTATTTAAGGCTTATCTCCTATCAACTAATGGAATTATTTAAAAAGTACGTTGCTATGTTTAAGCTCCTTGAAATTGTCTTATGCTCTTATAAATATTTTCTCCTTTTCTGACAAATGTTACTGTTGTCAAGCAATCCTGAGTACATTGTTTAATTTGTAACTTAAAAATCCTTAATGAATTTAATAACAGCAATTTTCTCCAGAGGATTGAAAAATTCTTTCAGGTTTGACTATGATTACTTGTCCTTTGTGATGCGTTTAACGATTTAAAGATTACAAACCCGAGTGCGACTACTAACAAGCAATATTCCCTAGTTATTCGATGATTGAGGATTTTAATAATGAACGTTTCGAGAGCATTTTATGCAAAACAAATGCTTTACTTATAAATTTTAAAGACCATTCGAATGCATTAAATTAATAAAATATTAGCGCGTTTTAGATACTGTCGAATGGTAAAACAGAAAATTTCTTGAAAATGAGTTTTCGATAATTTCTGTTATCAGTCTGTCATCGAAACAGCTGTTAAATCAGCCAGTCATGAAACGCTGAGTTTACATATCTTTTATTATTTAGTTTAATGAAATATATTTCATCATAATTGCTCATTATGAAAGATATTTTGATAATTTATAGATCATACGCGAGGCACGAGGCTTATGTTAAAAATTATTTGATTAGCTAAAAACTGTTTCATTCTCCCGAATATATTTCTGGTGATCACGATTGTTACCTTACCTGCAGTGTTACCTAGTTTTTTATTTGTATGATTGCTATACAGGGTGTCCATAAATTCCTCCATATTTGGCCCGCGAAAGGTCATAAACAATCAGCGAATTAGTGTATCAAGTGCCTCTGTCACACTCTAAAACGAAATGTAAAAAATTAAGTTCACAGAACATTTATTTGCATTCGCAAGCATACTATAATATTATTAATAGTATAATAATGCCTTATAAGCTCACAATGGCAAATGTTCTATTAAAATATTTTTGATTTATAAAAACAAAACAGAAGAGAAACACCCCACATTGAAACATAAAATTATCAACTTTGTGTTTGACGTAGATTTAGTCAAGAACTCAATCGATTTAGAGGCAAACATGTACAGGTCCCTCTTTATCAGAATTAAAGAAATATGTAAGACTTTAATTTGTACATATTCACGATATTAATAATACAGCAACATATCTTGGTGAAACTTTATAACTGCGCTCTCAAAAAGACACAACATTTGTCAACTATTCAAAGACATGGACACTAAATAGCAATAAAGGTTTGCAAACTTAATGCTCGAAATGATAAAAAAGTGAGCAACCTAGCGGGCAAAAAGATTTATTTTAGCGACGAGTATCACTTCTACGAAAAAGCTGTATGACCATCCGAACTGTGAACATTAATTGTCTAAGAGTCCCAATCTATATATTGTAGCTCCCTTGCTTGCCCAAATTCTTGTCATATAATATACGATATCGATAAAGTGATTAATTTGCTTTAAAAGGTATAGTTTCCGGATAGAATTGTCGTAAGTTGTTGAAAGAGAATTAGCACACAAAGTTTATCATTATACAACAATTGGGGGATATTATTTCTAGTAAAACGGCGTTCAGGCTAACTGAATTCAAGATGTTTATACTTGGCTGAAACAGCAAGAGATAAATGATTATTAGAGCTGCTCTGGGCGGGATGGTGATTAAAAGTGCCCGCTGACATATAACTGACATCGGAATCGAATTCTGGAGAAAGCAATGAGGCTTTGATTCGCGTCTCTTTTACTTTACAGGTGCAATATCAGTAGTCCTTATCGGTGCCTCTCTCTATCAATGATGAAACCGTTAAGTGAGCAATAAGCTAATCAATAGCTCTCAGCGGATGCTTTGCTGATATGTGTCCCGCCATTATCTGGGATGGGATAACACAGATACAAGATTAGATACAGGATTAGATTTTTGTATCTGGATTAGATACAAGAAAACAGAAGCTAAAAGCGATGTCAACTGACTTCCATCCAACCCGTATGTTAATTCATTTTATTATATCATATATGACTTAACTATAGGCAGGAATTTCGAGAATGCCTTATAGTCACTTGAATAATAAAGGTAAACATTTGCACGTGTGATTATAAGCTTAAATTCTGTCATAATAAGAAATGCAACCGATGAATAGAGAAACAGAGTTTAATGCTCATTAATTGAAGAGAGCAAATGTTTCAAAATCCTTGAATGATTTGATTTAATTATTTTTTTCAATTTTTATCTCCTTGAACGAAGTACAAAAGGAAGTTCAAATGAAAGACAAAAGGAAAAAACGTTCGGGAAGAAAACAGAAAGAGAAAAATTTGGGGTATCATATTTCAATAGAAATATCCATTTTGACCTACCTCGAATCCATTTGGATTTTTTTCGACGTGACATTTGTACGTACCGATACAATAAAGGACTGTTTTTTTCAAAACGGATTTTAAAATGGATTCAAAAGGAACATTTTCGTGAGTGACGTCTATATATGGGACATTTTGTATATGGGACACTGCTATAACAGTTGTGCATCGCCTTTTTTATTCCAATCGGCAGAATGCGAAGTGTATACATACATACACACACACACACACACACATATATATATATATACATACATACACCCTACATATATTTTGTAATAGATTATTTAGTATATTATCTCCTTTGACAAAAGTAGTTAGAAAGTAGTTAGACTAGAATTCTATTGAAATAAAGTAACTCATTATAAAATATCTATGTATACAATATAAATATACACATACACACCCTTATTCGGCTTAAAAGTCTATACCCGGCCTTTATTTTCGCAATCGTTGGTCGTAAATCGTAGTCATATATTTCTAGTTACAGAAATGTTTTAAATGTCGAAAATATTTATATTTTGGTAATGTAAATTTAAAGAGAAATCATTTTTGACAAAAAACGAAATCTTACTTATAAAGTTCCAGTAATTTCTCTTTTCTATCTCCCTACCAGAATGCATATCAGTTCCGAGAGTATATAAAGTGAGATATTTGGCTTGTAAGATAGAGCATATTTCTGCCCGTCCAGACCATGTTACTAGGTCAGCTAGTTCAGATAAGGTTGTATTCTTTGGTTCGCATTATAGTTTCTTACATTTAAATTGTTACGTCGGTGAGAAGTTTGAGCCAACTTAGAGTTAAATCAACTGTACAGCTTTTGGCTACTAGTCTTAGTTTTAAATTTGAGTTTGTCTGTTATTTAGGTTTCATCGCCAGAAATGATTGGCTGACAGCTAAGTGCATAGACTCGTGCATTTATGTCTCAGTTCTGACTTAAAAAAAATTTGTCATGAAACCTTTTTAAGATTTCGTAATTCTTTTCAGACGAAGCGATAATTCTCTGCAGTCCGCCTTCGAATTTGGACTTAATTTAAGCTAGCAAAACAAGTCTAATTTTATAAACTTTAAATGCGGTCTCCTAGCTCCTG